GTTGGCGTCGTATCCTCTATTTAATCATATCTCATGGTGTGCTTGAATAGTTTTTGCTATCTCTAGGGCATTAAATGAATATAAATCTTCTTCTGTAGGGTAGTTTAAGAGGTGAATGCCTGCAGCGACAGCAGGGCAGTTACATGTTTGATTTTATGTGAATTCCATAGAAAGATAGTTAGAAGGGGACACCCAAAGAAAATTTATATTGGCTATCGCAACGCTAGAATACGCCATCTGGGGAGAGACCGGTTTCATGCCTTTGACCCTTCTCCCTTCGCTCTCCTCCTCTTTTGAGTTGTATAGGAATGTACTACGATAATTTCCCTTTTCTTAATATTTTTCCTTTTTATCTAATAAAAATTTTTTTAAAAATTTCCTTGATACTTTTCTTTAGAACTATGTTCAATGTAGTTTTCAGTTCCATAAAGTTTTCTAACTTAAAAGATTTTAATCTAATGAAAATCAAGAGAGAAACTAATGTACTCTCTTCCTCTATGACTCTCCACACGCTAATGGAGAAAGCATGTGAAGTTTTGCCATAGGTAGAGAGTTCTGTTCTACGCCACCACCTGCAGCCCATTTTGATCGCCAATTTTGAATGAAGGAACCAACTCGAAGGGTATAACTCAGTACTATTGCGTAAACTTCAGGTTTTAGCGAGAAAGTAAACCAGCAGTGTTTTCACTACAAAGCGAGAACGCGAGACCGGTGAGAAGACCGGTTCCATGCTTTTGGCCCTACCCCTTTTTCCTCTCCTCCTCTTTTCAGTTGTATAGGAATGTTCTACGATATTTTCCCCCTTCTTAATACTTTTCGTATTTAATTGTCCCAAATATTTTTTTAAATTTTAAAAATGCTTTTTTTAAGAGCTACGTTCTATGTAGCTTTCAGTTTCGTATAGTTTTCTAACTTGAAAGGTTTTAATCCATTTGAAATTCAGGAGAGAAACTGACGTACCTCTTTCTTCTATGATCTTCCCCATGCTAATAGTGAAAGCATGTGAAGTGTTGCCATAGGTAAAGAGTTCTGCTCTACGCCACCTATAGTTCATTTGGTCACTAATAGAATTTATCTCTGCAAATTTCAATTCGCGATCGCAACGAACTATAGGGGGCGTTGTTGTATGAGACGGATACCTGCGATTTCCATATGAACAGTGATTTAGTTACTCTAGAGACGTCTTTAATGTAGCACGTAGCATTGCAACGTTCCTTCTTTATTGTGGCTAATTAAATTTAAAAAAGAAAAAATATTTGGTATTCTTTCTTATGCAAACGAAAACAAAATGGTATCTCTTTTTATTAGAGAAGGAATATCCAAAACACATCGGAAAAATATTTGTACATTAACAGAAAAAAATGTGTATATTCTTATAAGAGTTAAAACCTAATGCCCGAGAAATAGTTTTACTAAATTTAATGATATAACATGAAAGGCCCATTTAAACTTTACATTCTATAGTTTTAAGAATCATATTA